AATCTAAATTTAAATAATTTTTAATAAAAAATTTAATTGAGTTAGATTATAGTAAAGGTATAAAATATTAAATTCTAAAAATTAATAAAAATAATCTACTATCTATTATATTATAGTAAAAAGTATAGTTAAATACTAATAATTAATAAAATAACTTACTTTCTTTAATTTTTTAAATAAAAAATTTAATTGAATTTAAATTATAGTAATATGTATATTTTAAATATTAAAAATTAATAAAAATAACTTACTATTTATTTATTATTAATTATTGAATATTTGTTAAATAAAATATTTTATTGTTTAAATTTTTTTAAACAAAAAATTTAGTTAAGTTTAAATTACAATAAAAAGTATAATTAAATATTAATAATTTTTAAAAATAATTTATCATCTATTATATTATTAATTATTAAATATTTTTAAATAAAAATTTAGTTAAGTATAAATTACAATAAAAATATAATTAAATACTAATAATTAAAAAATTACTTACTTTCTTTAGTTATATAAATAAAGCTTTAGTTAAATTTAAATTATAATAAAAATTATAATTAAATATTAATAATTAATAAAAATAACTTACAATCTAAATTTAAATATTTTTTAATTAAAAAATTAAATTGAATTTAAATTTAGTAAAAGTATAATTAAATACTAATAATTAATAAAAATAACTTACAATCTAAATTTAAATATTTTTTCAATTAAAAATTTATTTTACAATAAAAAGTATATTTAAATATTAATAATTAATAAAAATAACTTACCTTTTATTGTAATATAATTATTAATAAAAAATTTAGTTGAGTTTAAATTATAATATATAATATAATTAAATACTAATAATTAAAGATGGTCACCGCAATTAAAAAAAATGGCGCAATTGAGTTGCAACTTGTGGCGCAATTAAATTTCCTTATGGCGCAATTAAGTTGCAACTCAATTGAAATTTGAAAATAATTATGGGGACCATCTTTACTAATAATCAATAAAAATAATTCACACCTTTTAGTTATTTAAATAAAAATTTAGTCAAATTTAAATTATAGTAAAGTAAAATTAAATACTAATAATCAATAACTTACAATCTAAATTTAAATGAAAAAAAATTATAGTAAAAAGTATATTTAAATACTATTAATCAATAAACTAACTTACAATTTAAATTTTTTAAATAAAATTTGAGTTTAAATTATAATAAAGATATATTAAATTTTAATAATTAATAAAATAGCTTATTATTCATATATTATTAATTATTAAATATTTTTTTTAAAAAAAAATTTAGTTAAATTTAAATTATAATAAAATATATATATTTAAATACTAATAATTAATAAAAATAACTTATTATCTATTGCATTATATAATTGTTTAAATAAAAATATAGTTAAGTTTAAATTACAAAGTATAATTAAATACTAATAATTAATAAAAATAACTTACTTTTTAATAAAATTTATTTTTTAATTGCATTATTAACTATTAAGTATTTATTTTAAATAAATAATTTAATTAAGTTTAAATTATAATAAAAAGTTTAATTAATACTGATAATCAATAAAAATCACTTATAATCTAAATTTAAATATTTTGTTTAAATAAAAATTAGTCAAGTTTAAATTATAGTCATATATTTAATTATTAATAATTAATAAAATAACTTATAATCTAAATTTAAATATTTTTTTAAATAAAAATTTAGTTGAGTTTAATTACAGTAAAAAGTAAAATTAAAGTATTAATAATTAATAAAATAACTTATATTCTATTGAAATATTAATTATTAAATATATTTTTTTAAATAGTTGAGTTTAAATTACAATAAGAAATATTTAAATATTAATAATCTATAAAAATAAGTTACCCCTTTTAATTTTTAAATAAAAATTTAATTGATTTAAATTATATTAAAAAGTATAATTAAATACTAATAATTAATAAAAATAACTTACTTTCTTTAGTGTTTAAATAAAAAATTTAGTTATATTTAAATTACAGTAAAAATATAATTAAATACTATTAATCAATAAAAATAAATTACGATCTAATTTAAATATTTATTTAAATAAAAAATTAATAGAGTTTAAATTATAATAAAAGTATAAATAAATACTAAAAATAACTTACCTTCTAGTGCATTATTTATTTTTTAAATATAATATTTAATTGAATTTAGATTACAATAAAAAGTATAATTAAATACTAAATGATTAATAAAAATATTTTACTCTCTTTAGTTTTTAAAAAAAATTTAGTTGAGTTTAAATTACAGTAAAAAATATAATTAAATACTAATAATCAATAAAAATAATTACCATTACTCTCTTTAATTTTTTGAATTTAAAAATTTAGTTGAATTTAAATTTTAATAAAAACTATAATTAAATATTAATAATAATTTATTATCTATTGCATTATTAATTATTGAATATTTTTTAAATAAAAAATTTAGTTGAGCTTAGATTATGGTAAAAAGTATAATTATACAATTAAAATAACTTACAATCTAAATCAAAATATTTTTTTTTTAAATAAAAAATTTAGCTGAGTTTTAAATTACAGTAAAAAATATATTTAAATACTATCAATAAAAATAACTTACAATCTAAATTATTTTTCCTAATAAAAGTTTTAAAAGTTAAACCAATTAATTTGATTATTCTAAACTTCAAATAATCAAACTTACTTTTTATAATATTATCAATATAAATTAATATTGTTTATTTAAATTGAATTAAAAAAGTAATACATAACTTACGATCTATAATATTTGAAATAAAATTTAGTTGAGATTAAATTATTATATAAGTATAATTAAATATGGATAACTATTAAAATAATTTACCGACTAAAATGTTGTTAACCATTTAATAAATAAATTAGTTAAGTTTAAATCACAATATAAAGAATTACAATAACTTACTCCCTAGTATAATTAATCATCAGAAATAGTTTACTTGTTAAAAATATATCTATAGGAAAATTAAATGACTTACATTCTATAGTATATCACCAACCATTGAATTTTTTTTTTTTTAAAAAATATTTAATTATTAAAGAATTATAGTTTCACTTAGCAAATAGATGAACGTTCATTACCATTTAATTCTTTTAATTTAGGAGCATCAGGAGCATCCGAAACAGGCTCTAAAGTATTGACAAACATTTTGTTTCAAGAAAAATAATTAGAATATCGTCTCAAGTCCGTCAAGAAAACTTGTTTTGGTCAATACGCTCACCATCTTCATTTATAACAGCTTTTTAATTACTTTTGTTTTCTTTGGTAAATATATTTTTAAACTTTTTTATTAGACTGTTGAACATTTTTGTAAATTTAAAAAAAAAGCATACATGTCGATCATTTTCAATATTTATACAAATTATTTATTTTGACAATCATCTTTCCAAAATAAAGTTAAGCAACGTGCCATCAGGTTTGCGTAGTAATTAGTTAAATTAGCAAATATACAAGGAAACCTATAATATTTATTATATTATTCATCCTGCTAAAATAGTAGTAAATCCGGTCTGGATTTATTGCATATTAAATAAATGAAGATGAATAATTCAAAAATTATAACTGGAAGTATTTAAAAAGCTAAACCACACACCTCCAATCAGTTACAGGTGGAATGCTATTACTTGGAAAAATTCAGAATCTGATTTCTTGTTAAATCCCATAAAGGGCCAACCTCATATTTCTATTTATTTGTATCAACATAAGATAAATTCGCTCAATGCCGTTCGACATTAATTATATACCTGATCAATTACATCCTCTAACAGCAATTCAAATGCTCTTTCCTGAAATCCTGTACCGCGCATCGGACTAATATCGTTAGATATTATCTTTATAAGTAATTCAAGGAAAACCATAAATATTTTAATCTCATTATTTTCACACAAAATCATTAAAATCTAAAAAATACTACCGGTAATAATTAAAGTAATGTCCATTAAAGTATGCTTAAGAATGTATAGTATACGGTATTATATTCATACATGCATACATCATTTATATAACAAAAAGGTATATGATAAACATATATGTATAGGAAAAACCGTCAAACTACCATACATATGTCATCATACATACATATATCGGTCACCATACCATACTTATTTTCGTTACCCCCCAACGAAATTCCATACATGTATGGAAATATTTGTCATACAAAACATACATCGCATACATAAAAATCCATACCATACATGATTGCTATATATCCAAAAAAAAAAAAAAACCCTGATATACCGTTGTCTCCCTCCAATTTAGCTTATAATGTCGAACATCTGGTGAAAAGCTAAAAGAATAATAACCCTCACTATTGAAATCCGGTAATGTTCGTTATAATGTCAGCAATATTTTATCCAATGTATCCTGCTATATCATTATGCTGATTATGATTGTTGAATATGAGGGCTCTAGTCCTGGGAAAAGTGCCTTAGGGACAGCTGATATCGACTCATTTATTTTTTACCGTAGAAAACACAAACATGATTGACGACTGTTGGAACGGTGGAAAGAAACAGTATAGAATGCCGGAATAGGTACTAAGATTGTTCACAATATTCATCAGATCCACGATCGCAAGAATGCGAAATGTCTAGAGATAGGTTATAAGGTCTTCACAAATACTAGTATAAGTTTCAAAACATTTCCAACGTCAGTCCACTTCGAACGATATGATTTGATCATTAATATTATTTTTCGCATTCAATTTATGATCATTCTCCTTATCAATATGATTCTATATTTTGTTCTTGTTTTTCTTTTGGTTTATTTGATCTTTAAAGATAATAAAATCATCATCATCCTTTGAAATTGTAATGTCATCAAATCTCTGCGGATATGCTTTCTATTTGCATTATGTTGTTGTTCTCGGTAAGATGTTCCTTCTTGATTCAATATTCAGAATCAAATATGCTATTTCGTAAATTTGATATTTTTTTTTACTAAGATTTTGCCTTTATTAACACTCTAATTTATTTCATTAATTGAAATATAAAGTTGGTTTTATCGCAAGATCCTATAAAAAAAACGAATAATTTATTTATTAATGGTCGAACTAATTTAGATTTAAAAGTCAGAGTTGAATGATTAGAGTTTCCGTCAAAGAATTACATGATGGTACCTGGAAGTTATTTTGAGTCCCTCTAGTATTTGAACTTCTCTGACGATATCGCTTATACCCTTTTACAAAACTAGAAGTCGCCCTATATAATATAGAATTCCTATGGGAGAAATGGCCGGAACTTTTTTAAGACCGCTTGGTGTTGAGCCATGACGTAGATTTTCAGACGCCTTTAGGGAGGTAGGACTAATTGTAACCGGTGAATGTCTTATAACTTAGCAAGCGACATAATCACTAATCGACAAGTTTTCATTGCATATTATTTCTTCATTTTCTCCATCCCAATAATGGTTTCCTAGTTAGGCAAAAATTTTACTATGTCGTCAAATCGATTGACAAAAAAATAATCAAGAGATGTCCCGTTTCAAGAAAGCATAAAATTATTCCAAAAGAGAACATGTCCATTGCAAAATTGACTGTAATATTAATTCCTTGATTTTACGCTCTTATTATTTCGGGATACGAATGATTTCTATATCCTAAACTATTGACCTTTCAATATAACCGTTCTTTTCCTTGAAAAGTCGCATTATATCCTTTTGGTGTTAATTTAGTATGAACTATTAAAAAAAAGTAATCAAGAAGTTTATTAATTAAGTTAATAAATTTTCTGCGAACTTACAGAAACTTATAAATGTCATATTTTTGAGAATCGCATTACTAAATCCTAATACCTTAAATATTTCGCTTTAATTTTTTAAATGCACCACAACCAGATTTGCGGTATTAATTACCTTTATTTGTCATCTTTCTCCTTATGTCTTTTGATTATAATCTTGATAACTTAAAAATGTTTCTAAGTTCATATAAATCACAGCATACCATATTTGCTTGTGATGAATGGATAATTATTCATCATTCGATTAATGAACTTTGTGGTTTATTAACTTCATCAACTTTGTATACATGGTATCTTTCTATATGGATAAAATTAGAATCGGTATTTTTGAATTAATTCGACTCCTTTATAAATATTTGTCATTACCTTCAAATTCATGCATTATCATGCCCCCCAGTCAAAATTTGCGATAACAGATTCTTGTTATTAGGGTAATCGCATATTGTACGGTAATAAATACAAACAATGAGTAAAATGAGTGATTCTTAATATTAAAGTCAATCCTTTTACAAGACCTATTAATATAATTAATATAAATTCCGATTTCAAACATACCAAGATTTCGCTTGTAGTATAGGCTCATAATTAGACGGTGGATATTGGACAGAACTTGCGATAGTATATCATGGAAATAAGTCAACTTCCATATTCATTCAGAAATTTTAGCATTTAATTCTTCATGGCTAGCGTTTGGTTCGTCAATTAGTTACCAAAAAC